ATATCTATCATTTCTGAAATGCAAAGGCACAAGATAAACATTACCATTCCAAAAGTTACAAACAGGGGAATATAAAGCATTGGAAACAAAGCAAGTCCAACTTGCAGCAGGGAAAACATTAAGTCCTAGAGTTCTATGCTCAGCATTTGAAGCAATCTGGATGCAAGCTCCAAAAGGCTTGGGTGATTCCACCCCTATGACACTTCCAGGGATTTCAGCTCCCATAACTTCTCTCTTAAACCTCTCTGCTCACCTTTTGCAGCTTTCCTTTGATGCTCCACGTTCCTGGCTTTTCCAGACTTCTGGGGTCTCCACTGCACCTTTGGCTTCATCCTTATATCTTTACAAATTTCCCTCTCAGGGGCACACTGCTTGGCCTCCCAGGCCCTTTGTAATCTAGGTGAAAGCCGTCTTACCCTCAGAATTTGTGCATTTTCTTTACACCTAAAATCAGCACCATGTGGATGCCACCAAGCTTTATTGCCAGCTAGAGCAGTAACCAAGCCTTTCTCTCTCTTGGCTATAGGGCTCCAGTGGCTGGATTGCTGGGCTCTGTTTACCTGATTGTAAGGAAAAGCTTCTCTATGTTGCCACCATTCTGAAACCTCATGTGGCCTCTGGTGCCATTTTGGAGCATGGTGCTCTGAAGTGTTTTCCTCTGAGCAAATTCTTTCACTGTTGCAATTTTGAGGCTGCAAAGGATGGAGACCCACTGCTTCCTGGGATGCCCCTGGGCCATCTTTTCTTATTTCTCTGTCCCTTCTCAGCAATTAAAGTCTCAGCTCTATAGTCCACAACTTTACTGGAGTTTTCCTTCTGGCCAAACTCACAGCATTTTAAATTATCCTGCTGGGCTCCTCGCTCTTGATTTGCAACATATATGTGGCTAAAATCCCTCAATAATAGCCATGCCACAGCCTCAACATTTAAATGTCTTGAAATTTCCTTTGCCAGATTAATCAGTCCGTTGCCTTTAATCTCAGTCTCAGACAAAGTCTCTGGGCATGAGCAAAGTGTAGACGAACTTTCTGCCAAGCCATAACAAACATTGTGAGGAGTCCAACAACCAATGCAGACACCTCCTGAATCTGGTATTTACTGGCAGGTTTTCTATCAGCCTTCTGGTCTCCTGAGCTCTGATCAGAATCTCCTCTACAGAACAACCTAAGCTGCTCCAACTCTATGCATCCAGGCAACATGTTCAAACCTTTCCAAACTCTGCCCACAAGCCAATTCCAAAGCCTCTTGAAAAACATGGTCAGGTATAATCACAGCAATGACCCCACTCTTGGTAGCAAATTCTGTATTAGTTATTTTTTTTTACTCATCACTGAGACAAAATACCTGATTCCCAAAGTTGGAAAAGGAAAGGTTCATTTCTTACAGTTTTTGGAGGTTTTAGTCCATACTCAGTTGGCTCCAAGGCAGGGTGGCATGGCACAGACGCAGTTCATGGCAGCTGCAAACAGCAAGGCAGAAACCTTCTTCCTGCCATTACATTATATGCTGGCTTCACCTTTATGTGGGTATAGCACTGACACCATCAATCCAAGCACTAGACAATGAACCAATCACAAATGTACAGTGCAAACGCATGAGGTCTGGCGGCCACCAATATAAACCATGACAGAGGTATAGGCCAAAGACTCATTTTTGGGTTTAGCCACCAACCATGCCTCCTCACCCTGACTGCCACTGCTGTAAGACAATGCCATACGTCACAGGAGGCAAAAGGCACCCAGTCACATATCAGCCATCTAACAGAGTTTGAGATCTTGATGAAATGTTAACCACCTTGCACTCTGTGGTTACAGATCCATACACTCTTTGGATTGTTACCTCCAGATGCCTTGGGGTTTACATGTTTAGATTTAAAAGATGCCTTCTGCTGTGAGCTGCTCCCATAAGCCCCTTCAACTGGGAAAATACTGATACAAGACACAACTCACTTGGACTTAACTATCAAAGAACTCTCTCACTGCTGGGCATGGTGGCTCACGCTTGAAATCCCAGCACTTGGGAGGCTGAAGCAGGAAGATCCTTGCAAGTTCAAGACCAGCCTAGGCTACAAAGTGAGCTTAAGGCCAGCCTGAACTGCACAGTGAGACCCTGTCTCAAAAAGACAAAAATAAATAAATAAAAACAAACTCTCCCACTATTTTCAGGGAGGCTCTAACAACAGATTTGGCCAAGCTACCAGCACCTTTTCTCTGAGACAGCCTGTTTCGCTTTCCTCTCCTGCTTGATATCCTGGTCCCCTGAGAAAAAAATAATAGATTGTCAACCTGCTAAAATAAACCTCTCCCGGAGGCTTGTAAAGCCAGCTCAAGATGTCCAAGCTGTCAATGTTGCTGCAATTGCCCTCCGTATATATTGCCACACTCTTCTGCCACCTGCAGCCTGCTACAAACCTTCCTGGACCTACAGAATGCCTTCTCCTGCCTTCAGTTGGCTCCAGTAATCTGGCCCCTCTTTTCCTTTAAATAAAAAGACCCCATTTCTCAACTCAAAGGTTAACTGACCTGGACTCAACCTCCCAGTGGCTCAAAAACTTGTTTACCCTCTTTGGAGTAGCCCTCACAGCTGCTCTTGTTAGTTTCCCTGCACGAAATATCACTGCACTTCTGATTAATGACACCCAAGCTGCCTCCTGGAAAAACACAAAAGCTCTGCTCCAATATCTGGCAGAAACTGGCTACACGGTATCTTGGGAAAAGGCAAAAATCTACAAATCATAAATGGTTATAAAGATGCTTACTCAAGCTTTCAGCCCCTGGAAGAAACCTGTTACCTCTCCATTTGCTAAGAGCTGCCTCTCCCATTTTGCTTCCATCCTCGAACAGCCACTGTCCTTCTGATAAAAAAAAACTGACCAGCTCTCCCCAGGCCAACCTAACTGATCAGGTGCCACATGCTATGCTGGACCTCACCCAGCACTAAGAACTCTTATGCAAAAATCCTCACTGGACTCTTGTGGTTATAAAACCACTGAGTCCTGCCATGTACCTGTCCCCAGAACTGGGCCCACCAGAGCAAGACTGTTCGGTACTGACTGATGAACTGTTCTTGAGCTGATTAGACTCAAACTTGAACGCCCTGACAGATGCTGTGTACACTTTGTTTACAGAGGCAAACAACTCTATTTGGAATGGAATCCAACAGGCTAGATATCCTGTCATCACCGTGGATAGTTATTTTGGCCAAAGTTCTCCTGCTACTGCTTCCTTCTGCTCTGAAAACTTGCCACGAGCAATGCCAACCTGTACTGGGATTAATCCAGTCCAGAGGCCTAAGCCCTCTCTGGGGATCTGATTGACTGGCATATAAATCCCAGCCAGAAGAACTTTACCCAATACTCTTGGAAGATCCATCTTAAACAGAGGTAGACCTGTCCTCACTGTATGTTCTGAAAGCTCAGGCTCAGTGCTGGCACCCATACACCTGCAGCCAGGCTTCAGAGTCTATGTCATCGGCCCTGACCTCCACGTGGATTTACAGATAGACGATGACCTCCACCCAGATGTACTGATAGACTTCATGCTTGTCTATACCTATTCAGGTTGGCCTAAGGCATTCTCTACCTAAGCTGAGAAGGCAACAAAAGTTTGTATGAAAAATAACTAAGTAAAAACTACATACAAGGATACAAGCTCTAAAAAAGTTGAAAAAAATAAAACATAAGCCTATAGAAATAGCTTGTAACCAGCTCATAAAAATTATCTGAAAGACCGGCTGTACCTGTAGACACTCCTGCACACATATGACCCTGGTGGATATTAACAGCTTTTAAAGTTTCAGAAATCCAGCCTTAGATCCACCATTCCAGAGTTCTGCTGAACTTCTGGAGAATTCACCTGGACCGGACAGCTCCTCTGAATCTCAATTTGAAGAGATAAAGCACTGCTCTGGTCATTATGGACAGCTGAAGCTTAAGGACACCATTTATAGGATTACTCCATACCTCAATGCATTACTCCTCTTCTTTTTCATGCCTTTTCAGGCTGATTATTCTAGTCCTTGCTTCCACTTCAGCTTGTGTATATTGTATTGTCCAACTTTGTTTTTGCTCCCTGCAACCCTGCTAGCTGTGGTTTTCCCATCAGCTCTATGGACAGTTAGTCCAACACTTGACCAAGATTTGATAAATGCCCAAGGTATTCTTGGTTACTCTCCTAGATCCGAGTAACTCCTTTACTCCCTTGCCAGAGTAGTGTTGCAGAACAGATGGGTCTAAATTTTGTCTCTTCCTAAAAGCAATGTAGGAAAAACTCTGTAATAAGTCCATCTTAAGGACCTTTGCTATGGCGCATCCTAGGACCAATGATAACTCTAATGTTACAGCTTCTAGTTGGGCCTGGTCTCAGAAAATCACATATAACATGCTCAGCAAAGATTTGCTGGGGAAACAAAGAGGATGTAAATGTATCAGAAAATGGCCACTCCTCAGCCAATATACCCAGTTGCCCAAGTAACAGTTTCTGTTGCAATTTTGGTTGTTTCTGTTTCTTAGAAACAGCTGGTCACTGGGATGCACACTGTATAAACCAAGCCCCAAAATACCAGCCATTCTGGCTCTGTACTTCTGCTTGCTTATCCCATAAAACCCCTAGACCACCAGAGAACAGGGTCTGACGTTTTGAGGCACAATCGATTCCCTGTCAGTGCCCCAACCAATGTTAAGTAAATGTGCCTCTAAGTCCTGGGTGGTGTTTTGGTGTTTCTGCTTGCCACTGGATAATCACCTAACGGCAAGTTTTATCATTAGAGAAACTACAGAGAAAAGAAAACACACAGAGGTGTGACTTTTGCCCTTTAAAACACTAAAGGGTAAGAAGCAGGAATTGAGATGGCCCATTATACTATGGAGTGTTAATTATATAAAATCAAGCATAATATAAATTGGTGTAATTCTTTTACATTTGCATTTCTCTGTTTAGAACATTATTTTTAATGTTCTTCTCTCTGGTAGGAAAAAGAATTGTCAGTAACTTTGTACTTACCATCATCTTTGTCAGGTAGGATGGTAACCTGAGCCCCTGGGAACTCTAAGCCCAGTCTCCCGCCCATTGGCATGCTCAGAAGGACCTGGAACGTTTCTTCCTCTTCATACAAGGAGTCGTCAATCACAACTATCCTGCACATTCTCTCTCGCTCGCCTTTGTCAAAGCGGACAATACTGGTGTGGTCCTCAGGCCTCGATATATAATCAGAGTAAGACAACACTGAAGTTGGCACCGTTCCTGTTGCTGTTCCTAGAGCAAAGAGGATCCAAAAGGGTTTCATGGAGAGCATATTACAAGAGTATTTCCTATGCAGCATTCAGTGATCATTTGTATCTATACAAATATATACAGTTGCCTGGAACCACAACTGTAGCCAGGTACAGTTAATAGTGCTCTAGTATCAGTGATGAAAAACAAATTTCCAGCATTTGCTCCCATCTTTCCTGTCAATGAACTTCTAGATCACACAGTACCACAGAATAATAGCACCTACTATTCAAATGCTTATTGTATACAGGCCAAGTGCCAAGCACTTTACATATTTATTGCATTAGTATTCTTAACTGCTCCATTGAGTTTTACACATTAGTTGAGCTAAGGCTGATACTGAAATTATTTTTAATATATATATATTAAACAGTAAAAAGAGCATAATTAAATTGTGAATATATATATTTATATATATATATATATATATTTAAAGTACAGTTGGAGATTTAAATCAATAGTATATGTGATTTTGTCTTTTGCACTTTTAAAAACTTTACTGGTTTCCTAAAGAAGTATTTAGAATATTAATGAACATTATAGTTTAATTTTAACTTTGTTATAAAATCACCTTGCATAGGATGCTTATCCATGAACACAACAAATATTCTGAAATTGGTTCAAATGAGTTTCCAGCTTATTTTTAAGTAATTTCTTTCTCTTGAGTATACATTACTTTGACCTTTTTTTTTTTTAAAACAATAACAACTCCCTACCAAAAGGGCTTGTAATCCTTATAATCTGAAAAGCCTTGGCCACTGTGGCAAGTGACCAGTGAAGTCAAGAGACATTTGCAGTAGGTAGTAGCACTTTCTCCCTGGGCACTGTCAGAGGAGTCTTCAAAGGTACAATACGGAAGCAAAATTCTGAAGAAATGCTTTTTTGTACTTCTGAAAAAACCTCATAATAAAGTATACCTCTCACTGCAAAATGCCATAGACCTGATGTGTTAAAAAAGCTTATTTTTAGCCGGGGATTTAGCTCAACAACATAAGCACCTGCTTGGCAAGTGTGAGGTCATGAGTTCAATTCCCAGTACCGGAAAAAAAAGGCTTATTTTAATCTTTTGGATGATGTTTAAGTTTTATTTTTAAATATTAATTAATTAATTAATTTTAATTTTTTCAAATTAAGCTACCTTGCTGTGTGGAACAGATCACCATGAGCTCCTGGCTGACATCCCCACTCCTTCTGATGGGAATAAACAGCTCTCCCACATCTTCTTCAATGGAATATTCAGACTGGGGAATGAATACAGTTGATTCTAAGGAGAAAACACAATCACAGGTGCAATGATTTCTGCCTCAGCTTCTTAGCTGTGAACCAGCTGTATGCAAATTAAAATTTCCTTAGTGATGGATCCCCCCCCCCCCATATTCCGTTGGAATAACAGGCAAGGGCAAGGAGCGAGGACAGGGGAATCGTAGCAAGTATGAACAATACAGTCTTTGAGATAGTGAAGTTTTAAATTCAGACACAAAATTCAAGATGGTTTTAATTTCCAATTGTTGCTTTTTTTTCCCCAAATGACGAATGTTGCTAACAGTTCCTTTAAATCTAACCCAGTTCCCTTGGTAGAAATGGTCCCCTTCTCCTGGAGTAGTATAATCTGAGAGGGGAAAATGATTTCAGAAGTCACCTCCTCCACCTCTTCTTTACAGGTTCACAAGTTGAATTTATTTGCTAATCATGTCCATTGGTTGTGTTAAGATTAAAACTCAAATCTTGCAATGTCTTTTCTTGGTACTCTTTTTACCCAAACAGTGTTCCTTGTGGGTAATTCACGATTAAAAATATATATTGTTTAACATTTTTATAATAGCAGTTCCTTTAGAATGCATAAATTTACTCAGCAGCTGGAACACTCTAGCAAGATAATAATGTGTGCACCAATTATATTTACATAAGTCTCAATAAATGATTTTTAGTATGATTGAAAAGTTCAATAAATAGTAAAAAGAGCATAATTAAATTGCAAAAAGCTATAGCACTATGTAAAATTATAAAAACTACTTGGTTCAATACTTTGACATTGTGAATCTGAAATAGATGCAGTACTATTTGATTGGGAATCTATTTCCCTGTGTCTTAAATTCATACAGAAAACCCTTTACAATTATTTTGAAAACAGTAAGCCCCACTTCTTTTGGGGATCAGCAGCAGATACAGCCCTCAAGTGGCGAGCTCCACTCTGCCCCATTCCCCGGCAGCTATGGGGAACATCAAATGTGTCTCTTTTCCTGTGGGTCCAGCTGGGTCAGCCAAGGGGAATACAGGAAGGGGCTTGGCGGGCAGGAGCTAAGAGAGCCTGGCATTTCCCCAGCTTCCCTCTGGTTCTACTCTCTACTCCATCTACATTCATCTAGCTATGAAGGCCACTCAGGTCTTGAGCTTGTTAGGCATGGACCCTCATTAGCCTTAAGGTTTACTATTCCTGGAGGTCTCTGGACCTTCACCCTCAACTTTGTAAAAGTCATGAGATTAAATTCTTTCTAAATTATACATAAAAGTCATGAAAGTAATCAAAATTGTGTTGATGAGGCTGAGAAGGACTCCTAATAATGGAGACAACCAACGGAGTACAGGTTTGGGAAGCCGAGTACAAAATATGAGTGTTGAGAAAGAGGGACCATATTTCAAAGACTGGTGACAAATCATATAAGTTGAAAACTGGCACCTTAACATGAGACGTAGCAAAGTGAAGAAAACTGTCTTCACAAGAATTGTTCTGGTGGAACAGAGGGGCCAGAAGCCCAAAGGGCTGGGTGTAAGGGAGAATGGGAGGAGAGGAACTGAGGACTACATGCAGGGGACCTCTCTCAGGCCATTCTGCTTTAAACAGAGGCAAACTGGCATCTAGAGAAATATCTTCGTTGATTTCCTATCAAGATCACTTCTAGCAAGGCCATGAATTGCACCTAAAGTTATGAAGGAAGATCTTAGCAAATATAAAATTTTCAACCGGACATTACCCAGACCTTAGTATGAAAAATACACAAGTACCATGGAAGATTCAAATCAAATAATCAATGAATGTCTTTTCATTAATTTGTGCAATTAACCCAGGTGTCATTCAGGTTTGGCTATCTTTACGTCATAAACTCCACGGCACTACCAGTGGTATAGAATTTGGTGGGGAGTTTGTGGTCTTTCTTAGGTTTATCATGGACTGAATATTTGTGTCCTTCCAAATTCATATGTTGAAGCCTTAACCTATAAACGGTACAGGGGACTTAAAGAGTGAATTTAGATGAGGCCGTGAGGGTGGAGCTTCCAGGATGGGATTGATGTTTATGAGAATCTCAAGACAGAAATTCCTCTCCAGGGCAAGCAAGGATTTCTGAGAGGTACAGCGAGAAGTCAACTGTCCATAAATCAGAAAGAGGCCCCTCCCCAACTAAAGCCACTAAGCTTGGATTCTCCAGCCTCCGGGAGTCTGAGAATAAACTGTCTGTTGTTAAAGCTACCCAGTCTGTGATATTTTCTTGTAACAGCTGGAGTTAAGAGGGGCTCAAACACAAATAGCATTCATTCAATGTGTTTTCAAAAACATCACTGAGGTCAGTTCCATGTGAGAATTTTAATTATCTGAATTCCTTTGGAATTTAATCCTGCAATACCTGAGTTTTCATTTCTTCTCTGTCTATGGCTGCAGTAGATTTCGTTAAACAAGTTCGGACTTTTTGTCAGTGTCAGTAGGTTGGAATTATGAATAAAGAAAAAAGCTAAGTGTCCCGACCATGCCCTCAGCTTTGGAATTTACTCCTGCAGTTGATCTGACAGAGAGTAAATAGGCCCAAGATCCAGTTTAGGCTCTCTTTTGTCCTTACTTCTAATCAAATGTGCAATATGTGGGAGAAGCTAGGAAAAGATATCAGAAAGAAAAGGAAAGACTTCATTAGTAGACTTTTCAGTTAACATTATTTTTCAGTTTCACTTATATACTCAATAGAAGCATATGTGTTGGTACTTCAAGCAAGCATAGTGTAAGTATAAATTTTGAAAGCATCATTCTTGCGTGAGCCTTAAAAATTATGAGCAAATACAAATGGAGTTCTTCTGTTTGCTTAGCCTTATTCTAAGCACATCACACATCCTGGGTAGCTTTTTTTTGTTTATTTACTTGTTTCAAGGAGTACTAAGGATAGCATCCAGGGATGCTCTACTGCTGTGCCTCATGCTCAGCCCCCTTTATTATTTATTTTGAGACTAGGTCTCACTAAACTGCCTAGTAGGATTCAAACTTGTGATCTTCATGCCTTAGCTCCCCAGTAGCTAGGATTACAGATGCAGGCATGTGCCTAGCTCTGGCTCGTTGTGTTTTTGCAGTGTCCTTGGAGGTAGGAAGTATTACATAGTTATTTTATCTTTGAGTGCAGTATTCAGTACCCCAGTGAAAACTAAGGGTGTTAACAGGTACTGAGGCTGAATTTGAACCTAGAAAGTTCATCTCAAAGGCTCTAGTCACAAGCACTCTGCTCAAGTGCCTGGAGAGAGAACACTTAGTGTCATAGGGAACCTCATTCCAACCCCAGGAAAACAAAGAGTTACACGGAGCTTGTGGAAAGGCACTTAATACACTTCTATTCTATACTTCCTCTATGAGCAGATAGAGGGCAGGGGCAATAGAGGTAGGTAAAAGAAAGAAACAAATATTTGTGGGATTTCTTTAAAGATTCAATAGTTTCATAAAAAAACTTCTATGTTAAAATTATATGCATGCAAAATTATGAAATTATTATGCAAATGTATATAACATCCATAATATTCATATTATAGTGTATACCTGCCCAAAACTGTACACACTGGAAAAACAAAAACTTGTATAAATACTTTAATATTCAATTTATTGAAACATTGTGAGATTAACACAAGTTAGCTTTGGCCTCTACAAAAGATGCTCAAAAGTGGTGGACATCAGCTTCTAGGTATTTATTAATGTGGTGAGCTGCTGAACTGTGTACACATTATTCTTGGCAGACTTTTGCTCTCTCTGCCTTTCTGTTTCTCTGTCTCTATGTCTGTCTGTCTTTGTCTCTGTGTCTGTCTGACTCTCTCTCTCTCTCTCTGTGTATGTATGTTGAACCCCATTCAAACGTTAGATTGAAAATGTAACAATCTCTGGGAAGGAAGATACTCAGTAAGAGAAAAAGCGGGGGCTAAATAATAAGAAATATACTTGCTAAGTACATAATGACTAGTAGACAAATGACTGTAGGTTCATGTTGTTACATGTTAGCAATAATCATTTCTTTCCATGTGGTAGGATTACAGATGACTTTTAAAAAGCCCTGCTTCAGGTTTTTAGAACAGTGGGTAGAGTGTACATACAGTTCCTACACTTCCCTACACCCCTTCTCTGTTTCACATTATTAACACCTTGCATTTGGTTTTTGACCATAAGCATGTGTTACTTTGATTCTTTAAGACTGGTTCCCCTACCCTTCATTTGGAAATACAATGCCAAATAAAATAAAATAAAATAAAATGCACTTATTATTAGTCAATGTGACTACACTGTAAGGAACATTTTGATTCCTATCTACAGTTTTCACTTTTTAGGTCTTGACTGTGCTGCAATTTAGGTGACAAAATAAATGCCTCCTGTAGCTATGGCTGAAAGAGAATGTTCATGCTACCCTTTGCTTAATTACACTGTCCAAAGTTTTCAAAAAGAAAAGTCTGCTAGAAACACAACAGGACAAAATATCTTCTAAAAATCTGCCATAATAGACCAAGGAAAGGGAAGAAAATGCAGCACTTGGGTGAAAGCACTGTTTCCTGCCTGTATAGAACTTAGCTCATTCAGAAACAACTGCGAAGACAAAAGCCCATCTCCAGGCTACCTCCGCCCAGAGGCTGGCCCAGAGCCCGAACACAGTGGGCTCTGTCAGCAATATGTTTGAATGTGGACATCACTTCCTTCTAAAATAGCCAAGTTACAATGTGGAGGGCAGAATAATGGTGTATTAAGACATGAAGTTGCTTCCTTTATACGCTCAACTCTGGAAGATGTAAAATGGTCAACTTTCCCCTTTTTTTGACTTTGCATTTTATTACATATTTTTCATGTTTAATCAACAAAGAATAAGTTGTTCATTAAAAGAATAGACCTAGTGATCCACTAATAGACCTCGTAATCCACTAATAGACCTAGTTATCCACTAATTGCAGCAAGAGCTTGAAGAAGAACCAAATGAAAATAATAAAAACATGCTTATAGCACATGAGAGCACATCTTAAGTTCACATCAGGAAACCATGAGGTCCAAAAATTATCCCTCTAGTCTCTGAAAATTTTTGGTCTGTGTGAATGTTTGGATAGCCATGTTGCACATCACTAAATGTTTTTATTTTGTGAACAAAGAAACTTCCAGAAAGATTTTCATAACTAAAATGGTTTCAGTCATGGAACCAAAGTAGTTTCAGTCGTGACAACTTTTGGTATTAGAAACCATGTGCTGTAATTTTGTTTCTCTTAAGAAATGACCAATGTTTCACTCCAGTTGGTTTCAAAAGATTTGACACTGAAGCTCCTGTATGCTTTCTTTATCATTCTGTCATGAGCTGAAGTTGACTATCATGTCATTGGTTCTAGACTTTGAATTTTGATACAGTCATCTAAAAATTTAAGTCCCTGATCATTCTTTGTTAACACTGTCAATGGCGCAAAATTTTAAAAAAATATTTAGATTAATTCATATACTCGTTAATGAATTAATTTATAGATTAAGTAACTTCATAGACTGGTCGCCATGTGATCTGAATTCCATTTCATTAAATGGTATCGTTCTCTCCGTGCAATCACAAGTTTGTCTTGTCTTTGTGTACGTTACTATTAGGATTTCTTAAAATACATTAAGTTCTACATTCCTTTAGAGTAATATCTTTGTTGTATGCTAAATATCATATAGGATTAAGCTAATATATTCTCACCAAAACTGATCACAAAGGTCAAATTTACTAGTTCATGGCTATATTTTTGAATCACATAAATACAAAGTAATTCCATTTCAAACAGAAGTTTGCAGACATTTCTAATATGCAAACAAAAATTATATAAGACATAAGTTTTAGCTATCTTTGCTAGGTATTTGAACTTTAATTCTATTACTTATTAGGACTGTGGTCTCCCAATAAGTCTACATAAAGCTCAGTTCACTCTGTTTAGAAAATACAGTGGACCTTTGACTTATAAACTCAATTTATTGCCAAGGGCTGGTTGTAACTCAGATTGTCAGCTCAAGGCTCAGGCTCCTCTACACAACCTTCAAAGTCTCTCTAGTGCATATGAACATCTCAGGGTCCTTAGGCATTGGCCTAGGATGTCTCAATTCACACAGAAAAGGATGTTGTAATGTTCCATCCAGAACTCTGTAAGGGTTAAACTTGTATATGAGACCATCTGCAAGCACAAGTAACTAGCATTGAGGTCATAACTCAAGAATTTCTTCATAAGTTAAAACTAAAATTCTGGCCATAACCCAAGTTGCTTGTATGTCAGGCTGGTAGTAACTTGAGGGTCCACTGTACAAAATAAAACAGAAATGAGATTTTATATAAATATTCCTAGGGTAAGTTTTAGCTCTTATATATTTTCCTTTACCAGATGTAAGAATGTTTAAGTTAATTACCATCTCTATGCTTCTAAGAATGGAAGTGCATGGTACATATTTTGATATTTAGGGAAATTAATATATAGAAAATTAAAAATTCTAGAAACTTCCTTTTTCTTAGAATTGGGCTAGATTTTTCGATAGGCTTTTACTGTTCCTTTATCACAGCATATCATGCTCTGCATTGTTAATTTTAATAAGTTAGTAGAATTTGATCACCTAATTATATGACTAACATCAGGATTGGCATAACTTCTGTACTCCAGATCCCTAATTCCTACCTTTTAGAAGAATCTCTGGCATATAGCAGACGCTCATTTCACATGTGTTAAATAAACACACACACTACACAAGGGCTGAAGGGATCTTGATTATCTTCTTAGAACATTTAGTTATTCACCAATACAACTATATTTGAGATTTGATATAGAAAGAGAAAAGATAACAGAATAAGCAAGGAATTACACACAAGAACAGGTGAAAAAATATTGTTGGGGGAAATCATGCTTATTTTGATTTGGAACACTCTTTTCTAGTTATTTTACTTATCTTTCAAATTCTACCTCTAGTGCTGCTTGCGAAACTTCTAATGCAGTGTCTGGCTCACAGAGAACACAGAACACCAGTAGAGACAACATTATTACGATTTAATCCCTGCCCATGGAAAAGTCCTTTTGGACTTCTTGAGATTGAGTTAGATAAAAGGCAGAGAGAAGAGAAATGACCCGGAACTCCCTCTCCCACGTTCTTCTTGTCTCCTAGAAATCTGCTGTGATGTTTTTCCATGACAATCCAGCCCAGGAGCAGTGCCCACTGGCTTCCAGTAAGTGCAATCTGTCCCATTTCTATCAATAATCCCTACCCTCAAATTAAACAAAACAGCCTGCAAGAGGTTGACTGCTGCTGTGATCACAGGGTGACTCTTTCTCAAGTTCTTCATCCAGAAAATAAGTTAAATGTCTCATGAGCTTTAAGCTCCTTCCCCAGCTGAGGTACTTGAACTTTCTAAGTGAATGTTAGAAGGAGGGAGTTTGTGGAACCAACCTGAAACCAGGAAGTACAGCAAAGGATTAGAGAGAGACAAAGGAGAGGACGTCCAATGGCTGGCTTTCCCTGCATGCCACCCCAGGTCCACAAAGCCTGGTGGCAGAAGAATTACAAAGGGAGACCAACATCTCTCTTTAGTGCTCTCTCCTCTCCTTATTCTAGTTTTTCTCTTTGAACTGCTTCAATTGATGAGGAAACTGAATATATCCATATATTCATTAAATGCGTGCACCTATTTGTCCAGGAAGCTGTTGATATCATACTCATGGCACAAAAGTTTATTTTTCAATGTTCTCATGGCAGTTCAGTAAACAACAGATAAAGCTTCTATCAGATCTATACAAAACCGTGGACTTCTGAATCCCTTTCTGAGTAGAACTGTACAGCGTTGGTCCCTCCCTGAACAGCAGGGACAGGTACCAGCTGTCAGCACAGATCCAAGATTTGGCTTCCTCATATCCGTGGCCATCCTGAAGCTCTCAGGGGTGGGCTGGGGCTTCACTTGCACGCACTTGTCCTGGCCTCTGCCATTCGATACAGGCTGGGCTCCTACACAGATGCAGCAGGACACGTGGTGGTGAGGATTAGACCTTCTCTTGGTGGGGGAGCTCAACTCTGTCGAACACAGATGTGTGGTTGTAAGCAGAAGGGGCACAAATATGTGGAGGTCTTGCAGTTATTACAGGGCACACGTAGGGGAGTTAAGAAGTTGCTTCAAGTTAGATAAGCCAAGATACAAGGATGAGTTGTTTTTCCAGTGATTGCACCTGCAATCAAAACTTTTACTTAAATCATAACTATATAACTAAATTGAAACAAATAATTACAATGATACAGTTATGAACATGTAAGAAGCCAGAGTGTACCTATGTATGTGTTTGTATATAGAATTTACGTTAAAAAGATGTTTTTGTTAGCTGTGTATGGAGGTGAACATCTGTAATCTCAGCATGCTGGGAGGCTAAGGCAGAAGGACAGAAAACCTGGGATAATTAGCAAGACTTCATCTTAAAATAAAAATATAAAAATAGTAGGATCCATAATATTAAAAGAAAAAATAAATAAAGATTATAAAGAAGATTATGTGTTTGTGTAGTGTGAGCTTTGCTCTATTTTAATATATACCACAGATCACATATATCACTGGTAGAGTGTGTTACTGTAAAATTGTAAGGAAGAAGGAAGAAACAGTTTAAGCATCTTATTCCTTAAGGTAAAGTATAGCAATTTACCAACTGGCAAATGCAAATCTGAAGAAATGGCTTCCATGGTAAGTGCGAGGTTGTGAGTTCGATCCCCAGTACCAGGAAAACAAAACAAAACAAACAAACAAACACCCAAAAGAAATGGCTTCCAGCTTTAACTAATGGGTCAGTTTTAAGTATGAAAGCTAACGTAGGTTTACTTAAAAAACAAAAAGTCCCAAAGCTCAAGACTGAAAAAACAAACTTAATTATTTGTATTTACTGCAGATAAAATTAAATGTAACATAATGCTAACTGTTCTTTAATGGAAACCCAACTTCATATTTAACAAAAGGCAGAGATGTTACTTAAGAAAATGATATTGGAGTTTTTTCTCCCTCTTTTTAATTAAACCTCATCTTTTAACACAGGGATTTTGCATGTGTCTCATTTCATGTACTGACTAGATTGTATCTTTATAGAGCATTTAAGAGTTTTCTGACTGATAAAGGAGGCTGGCAGCTTAAAAAGAAAGTCAAGTCTGGTTTCTGACAGGATTTCAGCTTCAGAAGTTTCTGTAAGGTTTTTATTAATGCCAGCCCTCAAAAAGAGTCATTCAATCTTTGCTTTTTTCTGCCTAGCTACATCAAGACAAGCCGGGGTTGCAGAAGCTTGGCAGAGGAAGGAAAAAAGGTCAAATTACACACAAAAGCATTAAGGTTCACTTTTGCCATCATCAACCCAGGGTGTTCAAGGATAAGAAAACATAATCTAAGAGAAATTAGGAGAAATGCCTGAAGCCACTGTTCAACTGCCAATGGATGGGGTGAGAATTGTGTAAAATGTGGAGACAGATCACCAAAGGAAAATTTGGGGCTCAATATAGGAAGGACACTTGAATAATTTAATGCTACATGGAGAACAAATTAATCCTAAAGTGATCTCATTCCTAAATTATTTGTTTAAAAGATATTTTAGGACACACAAAAGCCTTTAAAATTGATGCATTAATTTTAGAAAAAAAATGAGCAATAATCCTTTAAAGGCTAGCATTATAATACCAGAAAGAACATGCTAGTAGTAGTTCATTTACTTGAAAAAGAAACATCGCTTCTCTTTGTAACTTTTTGGTTTTCCTCTTCCCATCGGTATAATCCAAAATTCTGAACTATTTATCTAGAAAATTCTCCCTATAGAGAAAATACTGAATTTCAAACCTCCTGGGCATTTGGTCATGAAACCTCAAGAGCAGTGACCAGACAAGCTGACAGTTGCTCTCACCGTCCCCTGGGTCGATGATCTCCACGGTGGTCACCGAGGGGAACTCCAGGGCCGCCAGCACCGGCTCGGAGAGAACCACTTGAAAGGTCTCAGATTGCTCGTGCTCCCCGTCACTCAGGATCCGCACTCTCCACGTGGCTCTGGTCTGGCCTGGGTTGAACTGCACTTGCCTCTGAGCTTTGCCTTTGAAGTCTTTGTCTTTTTTGGCTGTCCCGTCTCGTGTGCCAATACCTTTACAGAAATATAATATCATTTCCTTAGCTTGCCTTCAGTTGGGTTATTAAGGCTTTCCTTCCCATGCCATCCCACTCTGCAGGACAATGCAGCCCCCGCTTGACTCTGGGACATGGGCAGTGCAATATGGATTGCATCATGAAAGTGTTGCTCTACAGGCACTGAGTAGGTGACTCTGTTCTCCTCCTGCTTCAATTCTACGGCTATATAATCCTCTTTTCTTCTGAGTCAAGGTCTTGCTACACAGTCCAGGCTAGCCTTGGGCTCACTTTGTAGCCCAGGCTGGTCTTGAACTTGCAACGATCCTCTTGCCTCAGCCTACGGAGAGCTGAGATTACAGGAGTGTAACACCATGCTTGGCTGGCTATATATTCTTTGAGCTAAATTAGAACTTCATGCAAAATAAAGTTGAGTAAATTTTTAATTTTGTTGTATAATATTATTTCTATAACTTCATAAATCTTAAAATTCTGTACAAAATGTTTCCATGTGCTGTTGTATATCATAAAGACATAAAGAACTTTCTCTGAGAAAATATAGTCCAATAAGATACCGTGTGAGACAGAGAACTTTTGACAATCTAACTCATAAATGCCTAAACAGAATAATAAAAATTATAAAATTCTATAGGGATTTAATTAAATTTGGACTTTTAAGAGAATCTAGTTTCAACTAGACATATTTACTACGTGATGGCCAAGATAGATATTCAGCCTGACAAAAAATAAGTTGCAATACCAAGTCTCAGTAGTGACTACTGAAAACATTTGTATTTGTTTTGCTTTAGCTATTAAGTAAAACTGCAATTTCATATTTGTCTCCTGTATGGAAAACTAATGTGGGTGATGAGAAAAATACTATAGGAATGGAAGAATAGATTCTATGTCCTTCCTCAGCCACAACACAATATCAGACTTCTCTCAGTTTTAAAAACACTACGATGAAGTGATCATGGCCACTAACTTTGAAGCCAAATCTCAGCTCTGCGTCCTACTTGTGTAAACTTGGACAAATCAAAACCCCTCTATTTTTCACTTATAAAATAGAGGATATACTGGCATTCTTCTTAAGGGGTTAGCTTATATAGGAAGTTGGGAACTAGGTCTGGCACATAATAGGAACTCAATAAACGCTATCAGAATCACTCCAAAATCCATTTCCAGCCTAGCAACTGACAATGAGCCCTCAAGAAAAGTATATAAATAGCTGTTTCAAGGTACAAGACAGATAGGTGCAGTGTTTAATGTGCTTACTGAAGCACTTTGCCTTTAATAAATGTTATTTAATAACTAGTAGCAAGATCTTTGAGATTCAGAAACCATTGTGACATACAAATACATGTTTAGTTTATTAGTAGATTTTAATAATCGTGAAATGAATAGTCATCTTTGAGAAAACGCATCTACAAATTTTACATGACTCATGATATACAGAATGTGCAAAAATGATGTTCTGTCTTTGGTTGTAGATGATATTCTTTCTTTAGTTATAACTCAAGCTGGCTTATTCTGAAAGTTCTTAAGTGAAAGTGGAGGTTTTCTGGAAAGAGTTACACAAAACATTCCCACTACAGAACATTTATGAGGCTGCCTTCCACTTTGACCTGATTTCTATTCCAGGCTCTAGTGTGAATTCTATGACCATCTTTGGTGATGGCAGATGTGGGTTACACGGAGAAGTCTTTTTACCTATCCTCCAGTTTACTAATAACTCTGCGAGGTTAACAAGTAAAAATGTAGAGATTTTGTACAATTGTTGGCATCTCTACATTTGTGGGAAATAACAATTCATTGAAAGCATAACTTAAAAAAAGACCTCTTGTTTGATATTTTAGCATTCAGCTTAAGGAAATGAAGTGAACGAACAACAAAAATGTATAAATAAATTGGAAAGAAAAATCTAAAAGGTCAGTTTTAAAATCTTTTGCAACTATTAGCTTTCCTAAAACTATATGCAACCTACTTTTAAAGAATTAAAGAAACTATTTCCCAGTGCAAATATAAATAGATGAAAATATAAAATATCCTTAACAATTGGTAAAGTGCCCTGTGTTTTAGCTATCATTTTCTGTACACTGGCTGTTGTATTTGCAGGCATGGAACACAGTCATGCCAAAGCTTTCACTGACAAGAAGATAGTATCTGCAGAGCTTGTGTGTACAGAGAAAGTGTCTCCAAAGGACAAAGAAACACAAGCCCTCTCTGGTTAAACACAAAGAGTCTCAGTGACAGTCACATGAAAATCCATGTGAGTAAAGAAGCAGAAGTGGAGTCACTCTGGCGGTGGGGGAGTCTGCAGTGGACTCAGAGGACCTGCAGGAAATGTGCAGGAAAAACACTTTTTCTAAAGTTAAAAAAACTAAGTATTTTTAAAATAAGGAGAAAACAGTGTAATACATTTGAGTATCTAATAAATTATTGAACAGTTTTCTCTTTTTATGAAAGCAACCCTCATATACTTTACACTGATAATTCAGCAGACTTTTATTTTTATGGATAAATTACAGATTTGCCTAGCCCTATTATTTGTAACTTCTGAGTGGTTACTTCCAATTCTGTAAGGTTGTTTGGTGTCAGAGAGGCTCATACTTAGGTAGGAGACTTGAAGGGGTTGGCACTTTGACATTGATGTGCTGGGGTTTTTTTTAAAGCAGCTAAAGAATCTTTAAATGTCAACAACTCCCTAAACATTTAAATCAGTGAACTAAAGTGGTATTTTAAACACATTAGAAAAGCTGTAAATCTTTGGTAGAAAAATGGAATTTGAGACAAAAACGCCACGTTAAACTTACTTATAAATGAAGTTTCTCCCAAGTAACCTCTACGTTTAAGAATGATATCTAGAAATTTGGAGTCTTCGTTGATCAGGTAGTATTCCTTTTCAAAAGAGATCCATGCCCAATTCAGACGAAAATGCTGGTTGGTTAACTTGTTGCCTCCTGGAAAATAAAAATTTAAAGTACTACATTAATGCTTTTTTCAGTGAATAACCTTAAAAAGTCCTTATTTTATTTTAGTTTAGCTTAGTTTGTATTTCATGCTGAGGGTCTAACCCAGGGCCAGGTGCGTACCAGGCAAAAGCTCTTTCATTGACCCATACCTTCAGCTCCCCACCCTGCCCAGAGTATTTTAAAGGTACAACTTTAAGAATTGATAGAGCAACTTGGTTTGATACTGAACTCCAGAATATATAGCTGGACATGTAGCTAACTGATCCGTGCTTGTTACACAGACACACAGCAGCTGACCTCATCTTTCCCACCTTCCTTGCTGTCTCTTAGGAAATTGGCAAAGAAGTCCACACTACCAGTAGGGATTTAGTGGCCATGAAATTGAATCTCCAAATTGCAGGATGACCACAAGGTGCCACTGCAGAGCAAGCTTGTCTATAGCACCAGTGGCTAAGAAAGTTCTTTTGTGATGGTCTTAAAAACACATATAACTTCATGAATACCTTTTTGTGGTTCACAGAGCAACTGGGTGGAAGGCTTTACTTATAATCACTTAGGGAAAAGCAAATATCTTTTCTCTGCCTCCTTTGTCCTCGAAATTCCACTTCACTCCTCAGAGCAAATAGACATCTCTTTCCACTGATTTCCATTTTGCTCTAAAGATAAGGCCCTCTTCTCCCACAGCCACCAGAAGGCAGCCGGCTGGCGGCCCATCCCCAGAAACAGATCTTGCATGTGATCTCCCTAATGCGGAGGCTACTCTACTGGGCTCATGGAAGGAGAAATCACCATCACTCTGCACCTGTCCTTTAGCTTCTTTTGATCTCCGCCAATTATTTCAGAAGAAGGTGAGTTGTATAAACAAAGACACCAGTAATTTCTTTTAAATCTTCCTGGAAAGGGGTAGGGAAATTAGCCCAAATAATAAACATGGCCAAAGGCGAAAATTTAATTCTAGTTTCTCCTCTTCTGAATTCACATCAAAAGAGCTACACTAGGGAAAAAGAAATGAGTAGGGAAATGTCAAGACTTTTAATAGAATGAGGAGTAAAATATCTATACCTGGGAAAACAAATGAACAAATACATGAAAATCCACTGATTTTTCTAGAATATTTTGAAACAAGAAACTATATGACTTTGAAATAATGCTAAAGATTAAAGAAAATAACCTAGACAAATGAGATTACTCAGAAAAAAATAGATTTTCTTATTTATTGTTGTTTGATTTATAAATTAGCATAGTTCTTAAAAGACAATGGACAATGAATTCAAGAAGCAAAAAGATATTCACATTACTTGAACTTGTCATCACTTCTAGGGAGAAGCAAAAATTTAAGAAATCATTCATTATAATATTTCTATAAAATCTCTAAACCTGAAAAATTTAGAGTTTACTATCCTCAAGTACATTAAAACAGTAACAGGTTATTTAACTACATACAATACATATAAAATTCTTAGTGAAACACTTAGAATGCAGGTACCTAAAGTGTAGTATTAAACAGCACAAAATTGTTAAGCTTTTCTAGTGAATGGGATTATAGACACTTAAATCTTTAATTTTTTAAAAATTTAAAATATAAGTAGACTCTGCCAGGGATTTGGCTCAGTGGCACAAGTGCCTACCCAGATCATGAGTCTGATCCCTGAAGAAAGAGTACAGAAATATAAGTTGACTGGAGGCCATAAATTTTGTGTCAATTCAAGAAGAAAATTCATTCGATATTTCTCCTTCTGTGAAACATCTCCTTGGGCTCTGTGCACTTCCAGGTGGAAGCAGAGAGAACATGACTTGGACCTGGAGTCCAAGGTCCACCTTCTTTCGACTCTCTGTACAACTGGGTTGCTCTAGACCTTAGTTCCTTCTTCTGCAGAATCGAATGTCAGTGTGGGTAGCTGCTGCCTGCGAGTGCTGTGAGGATCAAGCGAGATAACCCAAAATGTAACACTGGAGCTCAGAGCGCCGTGTGTGTCTCCACTGATGACGTCTTTCAACTGCAGTCAGCCTGCTGTGCTCTGCCAGGCAGAGCTATTACACCTTGGCTTGCAAACCCACTGCTAGAGCGGTCACCTGCCTTCAGCTTACTAGTGTTCCTTTCTCCTTTCTCCATTTATCTACAACTATTGCGCACATAAAGTCTATCCTTGTGTGTGGATTTCTAGGTTCTCCTTGCTCTGTCTAGATGGCTCTTGTTACGCTGTCATCTGTGAATCAGGGCAAGTGCACATTCTTGAAGCTGTGGAGCTCTGACATCCTTACTCTTGATTTCTTGTCCTCTTGTCTAAAATAGTCTTTGAGTGATGCATTCCACTCTTCAGGGGCCCCTTTCTCCACCTTCTTTCTGAAGCCTCCTGTATCCCTGTGGCCCCCTCACCTCTATCATTCCAGTGTTTACTTCCTGATCACACTGTATAATGAAGCACTGTAGCAGCTAGCTCTCAAATAGTTTGTGTTATTTAATAATTTCACTAATTTATGTCAGAAACTGAGTGTCTTTTACTACTATAAGCATCTCGTCAAACATAAAACAAATTCTATTTTTAAGCAAACTCTTGCATGAAAACAACTTTACATCCTACTTCTAGAGTATGCTTTTAGCCTGTCCAGGTCTTATTCCAAACTTCTTGTCCCACTACCACAAGCGATTCCTTGCCCGTGGTAATATTCACAGTGTCATCCACCAATTCTTTGTAAAAGCTATTTTAATTGTGCATATTTATGGCAAACAGTATAATGATTATGTATGCAATGTGTTATGATCAGATCACAGCAGTAAGAATTTCTATCTCCTTAAATATTAAACAAAGAACTTTTAATGTGACTCCTAGAGACTGAGAATAGGAGCACAATAGACATAGAGGGAAGTTGGATAATGGTTAACAAAACATCGTGGAATAGAAGAAATAAATTCTCGTATTCTACAGCACAGAGTGGGGGCTCTCATTCATGATAATCTATGCTACAGTTTGAATCTTGCATGTCCTCTAAATGTCAATGTGTTAAAGACCCCGTCTCCAGCTTGGTGTAACTGAGAGGTGATCCAACCTTTAAGACATGAGGCTGGGGAAATGATGCTAAGTCACTGGGATGCGTCCCTGAGAGGAACATGGGAATCCTGGCCACTTCTTTTCACTTTGATTTCCAGTTACCATAAGGTGAATGTGTTGATTCACAAAGTACTCTCTTCCCACCACAATAAGCCTCCTCACTCTGGACTCAAAGCAGCAGGGTCAATTGATCATGGACTAGAACCTCTGAAACTGTGAGCCAAAAAAATCCTTTTTCTTCTTTTAAGTATATTATCTCAGCATTTTGTTATAGTAATGCAAAGACTACCAACTTAGCCTATTGCAGTGATAACAAATCTTTTAGAGCTTTCAGAGGTAACCAACAGACTGTTGTGGCCAATGTGCCATATGTTCACCACCACTGGCCTATTTTATATGTATGAATAACTAGAAGAGAAATCATAACATACAGAAATTATAAAGAAAAATTATATCCTGATATGACCAGCATACCTTGTAAACATACAACAAAATGTCACATTGTCCCATTCCTTCTTTTTGAAGAGAAACATGGAGCCTCATTTAAGTTCTCACTGTTTTCTGTAGTAAGATGGTGCTTCTGCTCACACTGTCTTCTTCCTAGGATACCCTTGGATGTTAGCAAGCTATACTTCTCTAAATTGTAACTGCTTTTACCCACTTTTAATATTTGACTCCAGCCCTTTCTGAAATAATCCAGAGAAGATTATGCCCTCCTGAATAATAATGAATTACTGAGGCCTCTCTCCATTCTTTATAAAGTCAATGTAGACTCAGCCCCTCTAACCCTTACTCTGATTAATTTTTCTCTACATCAATCTCCACAAGCTGAAATTGTATATATAGTGATGCTTCTATTTGGTCATTTTGTTTCTTCCTACAAGATCCAGAAGGGAGGGAGTTCAGTCTACTTGTTGGTAGAAAATGCATATTGAATGAATCAAACTCTGTTGTTTTGGTTGAAAGAAGTTGAGTGGTACTTCATCAATTAAGTAGTCTACATTTCTATATAAATGCAACCTATCTTTTTGGTATTAAATCTTTTCATAAAAAATAATTGCTTTTGTGATAGTCTTCTAAAAAGTCTTGCATACTTAAAGTGTTTACCTATAAATATGAATTAGAGGAATTTGTGTTTATCTAAATGATACCTCCAGGGATTATTGATAATTAGTGAGTTCCTATTCCATTTTAAAGAGGTATAAATTATCTCAATAAAACTTAATTTTATCCACACTTAAAGATTTCTGAAACATTTTTAGGTTAGTGCCCATGTACTAGAAGAATGAGTGCCCCAGGAAAAAAGGGGGCCGATTACTGGTTAAACCAAGGCTTTGAATATATGTCTAGCTGAATAAGCTTGCCAGTATTTTACATATCTACTTTCTGAGATTTCACTTGAAATAAAATTCAGAAACAATATAAGAAATGTTCTAGCTTAGTCATTATAGTAACATAATTGACTCTAAAACTGGGATTTTTAAAATAGTTATTTAAGCAGAGAACATAAAGTCTCTAAAGCTTAATTCTGAACAAATATTTACTAACCCTTCTGAATAATATACATGTGAATTATATTCAGTTTCTAAATGGGTGAACACTCACAAGAGTGATATAAGGATTTGAGTAACTGACCTATAGATTATTTTAACTCCCTTTATTAAAACTGTAATCTTGTATAATCAAACTCTATATTTTATCCAAAGAGTAGAAGGCCACCTTACTTATTTATTACAGGCCAAGTAAACTCTTCTAACACTTCAGTAAATGGAATAATGGAATAATGAATGTTAACACTTTAACAAAAGCTACAGTTTAACCGAATGTGAAATTTTAGATGAAATTAAATAACTTACAATCTGACAAATTTTATTTATATGCTGTCTTTCTAAAATAAGTTGTCACCTATGATGCTGAAAAGCAAATGACAACATATTA